CTGGTTAAAAGACAGGAAACAAAGGGTAGGAATAAATGGTCAGTTTTCAGAATGGAGAGAGGTAAATAGTGGTGTCCCCCGGGGGTCTGTACTGGGCCCAGTCCTATTCAACATATTCATAAATGATCTGGAAAAAGGGGTAAACAGTTAGTTGGCAAAGTTTGGAAAAGATACAAAATTACTCAAGATAGTTAAGTCCCAGGCAGACTGCGAAGAGCTACAAAGGGATCTCCCCAAACTGGGTGACGGAGCAACAAAATGGCAAATGAAACTCAATGTTGATAAGTGCAAAGTAATGCACATTGGAAAACATAATCCCAACTATACATACGAAATGATGGGGTTTAAATTAGCTATTACCACTCAAGAAAGATCTTGGAGTCATTGTGGATAGTTCTCTGAAAACATCCACTCAATGTGCAGCGGCAGTCAAAAAAGCTAAGGGATTGTTAGGAACCATTAAGAAAGGGATAGATAGTAAGACAGAAAATATCATAATATCACTATATAAATCCATGGTACGCCCACAGCTTGAATACTGCATGCAGTTCTATTTGCCCATCTCAAAAAAGATACATCAGACATGGAAAAGGTGCAGAGAAGAGCAACAAAAGATTAAGGGTATGGGACAGCTTCAGTATGAGAAGAGATTAATAAGATTGGGACTTTTCAGCTTGGAAAAGAGATGACTAAGGGGGGATATGAAATCGTGACTGGTGTGGCGGAAGTAAATCGGGAAGTGTTATTTACTCCTTCTCATAACACAAGAACCAGGGGTCAGCCAGTAAAATTAACAGGCAGCAGGATTAAAAACAAAGAAAAGGAAGTATTTCTTCACACAACGCAGAGTCAACCTGTGGAGCTTGTTGTGAAGGCCCACACTATAACTGGATTGAAAAAAGAACTAGATGAGTTCCTGGAGGACAGGTCCAGCAATGGCCATTAGCCAAGACGGTCAGGAATGTATGCAAGCCCGTGCTCTGGGTGTCCCCAAGCCTCTGACTGCCAGAAGCCAGGTCTGGCTGACAGGAGATGGATCACTCAGTGACTGCCTGTTCTGTTCGTTCCCTCGGAAGCACCTGGCATTGCCGCTGTCAGAAGACAGGCTGCTAGGCTAGATGGACCATTGGTCTGACCCCGTGTGGCCGCTCTTTTAACACGTCCCCATGAGACTGAGGCTGAGTGAGGCTCCCCTTCTTCTCCCTGAGAGACTGGGAAAGCAGCATAGGACCCCGCGTTACACTCCTGAGCAGCTGCAGGCCCCGGCTGTGTTAATTTCAATGGAATACATGGTCCCAGAGAGTCAAAGTGTTAACATGTCCCTGTCTGGGGCTTGGTGCACAGACCTCAGCCTGCTTAGTCCCACGGCAAACACACCATCGACAATCCTCTTAACCTTTTATTAAAAGAGTTGAAGCATTTGCAACGTCAGGTTTTCCTTGTAACAACAGGCCTCGTTCCCTTTCCTGTTAGCTGGAGAGGGTCTTTAGAAAGTGTCCCCCCCCCGTGTTAAAGATGGTAATTACTGACCGTTTGGGGGGGAAAGGTGGTGTTATGTGGCTTCCCAGCACTCTAAGAACTGGCACAGGCTCAGGCAACATGCTGCAATGGCACGGAGCTGTGGCAGGGAACAGACTAGATACTGGGGGAAGTGTCACAGCAACAAGGATGAGTGGGCCAGAGAGCAACTCCCCAGCAGGCACCCCAGAGACTCCGAGGAGTGAGGGGTCCTGCTGGACTTAGGTGTGCCAAGCTGCCACAAGGGTTGCTTTATGGCACCGTTAAATGCTGGGTGTCTGTAGAGACCCCAGCCCCATCCCTGAGCTGGCCTTTTTCTCCTGCCTGCTGGCTCTCATGGTATGGTGCAGGTGAAGAGCTTTCCAGATCACACACCTTTTCAGGACCCTAATAACCTACGTCACTTTTGAAAATGGGATTCAGGCTCCTAAGTCATTTAGGCACTTTTGAAAATTCTCCCCCTTGGTCCTACTGCCATAGATTTTTCACGGATACTTTTAGCTTCCCTTTTCAATTGTCTGCATTTCTTACCTGCTGATACGTATTCCATGGTATCAGCTTCCCCATTTTTATATGTACATTTTTGTTGCTTCTTTCACCTCTCCTCTTCACTAGAATTTTTTTTATTAATTAAAAAGCCTTCTTTTGTGATTGCAGAACAGTGAGTGTCTGCTGTTTGGTTTTGCATCTAATAAAGCATTCTTAAACCATTCCCAATCATCATCCACATTTGCACGTTTAAATATTTCCTCCCCCTCAGTTTTGCTCATGGTTGTTTGCACTTTGGGGAAGTTGGCCCTTTTAAAGCATCAAGTATCTATATTCCTGGACTTGACTATATTCTGTTTGCACCTAATAAATGAAATTGTCATGATGGCTTATGCCTACGCAACCATCAAATTTAGTTCTATGATCAATTCAGCTGTATCTGTCAGAATGAGGAATGACCCCAATTCTTGTGTCAGAAAGTCATCTATAATTTTTAGAACCTCCAAGCATATCTTACTAGTGGCAGCGTGAAAGCTCCAGCATGCCTCCCCCCGGACAACGAAATCCCCCCCGATAACACACTTTCTTTCTACACATTAGGGATGGATGTTTAAGCAGCTGCTCATCCTGCTCCCTTGTCCGACTGGTCTCTATAACAGACGCCACCCAGTATCCTGCCTTCTGACACGTCATTAATACACTGACCCAGTTAATACTCCTGCCCCTCTGAACTGAGCTGTCCGTCACTAGTGCAGGGGGCAGGATCTGTGATGTCCAGGCCACGCCCCTTCTGCTCACTCGGTCCTTCCTGACCAGGGTGTATCCAGTGACATCAACATCCCTGTCGTGTGACTCCTCCCACCAGGGGCAGGGGTCAAAATCATAGCCGATCTCTTTCATAACTGAGCCTAATTCCTTGTTTATTACCCGGCTTCCAGCACTGAAGCGTGCCTCTACTGTACACTCCGCTGCCTTACTACATGCAGTGTTTTTACCCCCAGGAGATGACCCACTCGGCCACCCAGCCAAACCCCTTTACTTTTCTCCCCCAGACAATGGTCCCCTCCGTGATGTCCGAGCAGGGATGGAGCTGAGATGTAGCACTGAGGGCCTCGCTTGTGAGCATTAAAGAGCCTGTGGACACTTTCCTGAGAATTGTGTCACTGGCCTGGCGCTGCTAGTTACGCTCCATGTCCGCGAGCGCCCTCTGCGATTTCCTACGACTGAACGCTCGGCCTGCTCTGTATGCCATGGGGAATTTTCTGAAATATTTTTATAAACTCTATGCGTGCCTCAGTTTCCCTCTGTATTTTGCAGTGCTGCGCAGTGGGTGCCTCCTGCCCAAGTGACCAAGTGCGGCACTCAGGTAAAAACTGAAAGGGTCTCCCCATCTTGGGCTTCAGTGCACAGCTGGTCACCAGTGGGAGAAGGGTTCAGGAAGGATCCCTGGCCCCGCTCAGCAGCACAGCCTGGCCCAGACAGGGCATTGGAGGGCCCGAACTCTTCACTAGACTTCACCCCCCCATGGTTTCCAGCTGGGCTCTGAGCTCCATGTGCAATCTAGCGGAGGGCTGCACACGCTGCCCCTGCTGGCCGTGGAGAACCTGAAGAGCACCTGGCCTTGCTGGGGTAACGACTGCACTTCCCTAGCACCACTGGCCCCCGGGCCCAGCAGATAGCGAGGCCAGGACAGACCCTCTCTCTGGGGCCTGATAGAACCATTCAAACGAGCCCAGGAGTCAGGCTATGAGCCTCGTCCCCAGAACCCACCTCCAGCCCCTCTGCCGCGCCAGGCCGGGCTCTGCAGGGAACGGGGGCGGCTTTTCCTGGGGGCAGGGGATAGTGCCACACAGCACACCCCCTTGCTTGGAGCAGGCACCACTGGAGTACATCCCCCCTCGCCCCAGCCTCCCCACGCCCTTCGTCTCAGCTCCCGCCCTCCCCGCACCCCAGCACAGCGCCTGCGCCAACGACCCCAGGGGCCGAAACGCAGCTGAGCTCAGGGAGAGAGTAGGTGCCACTGGCGGGCCCCAAACACAGCCAGCGATCCACGGCTCAGAGGGGTGGGATGAGGAGCTCCCTGCACACCGAGGGGGTGACCGGAGCTCAGTGACCTTGTGACCAAGTGGCCTTAGACGCAGCTGGGATGGACAGGGAAGAGGAGAGCCGGGCTCCTGCCCGGCTGTATTGAACAGAGAACCGCAGAACAGCAATCAACAGCAGGTGTCTTTATTCAGTCCAATTGGCACCGGCCCCAGCGACTGCCCTGGGACCTTCCCACCCCAGGTGCTGCTGGAGGGTGGCTGCAGCGCACACAACCCGACTCACCATAACGGGGGTCAGACTGCACATCCCAGGCGACCAGCCAGCCCTGCGCTCCCCCCAGGGGGGTGGGTGGGGGGCGGCTTCCACGCACTGCTCAGCTAGTGCACACGCAGACCCCTCCCATCACCAGCCCCCAGGAAGGACCAGGAGCCCTGGGAGGATGCAGGTGCCAGCCCCCAGGGAAATGCTACTCGCTTCCTAGCGGGACCCTGGGAAGTCTCGGAGAAGCCCTGGAATCCAGTGACCTGAAGGGGAAAGGCAGGATGCAAACCCAAGGAGATGGAGTGCGGTGGCAGTGCTATGCAGCCCATCCATGCCCAAGCCTCTGCCGCAGCCAGCGCTTCTCTCTGCAGGGCCCAGCCAAACTAATCCACAGCACACGTCCCACTCGCCAGCTACCCACAAAGGGCTCAAATGCTACAGTGTCCCCAGAGCAAATCCACTCAGCGCACGGCCCCACTGCAGGAAAGCACGGGCCGGATGGACGGCAGGATGCGGGGGGGCCCATAGGGCAGGGTGTGTGGGGGGGGACAGGACACAGGGAGGCCCATGGTGGGGGTGGGGAGAAGCAGTAGTCACTGTGGTGGGAGTGCCCATCCTGTGGCACCAGCAGGCGACGCTTCAGAGGGGCTCCAGTGGTGCCAGTCATGCTGGGCTGCAGCCCCGGGGCAGAGGCTCGGTGCTCCCCAAGCACCGGCCCTGCCCAGCGACTGCCTTCCTCCAGGCCGCAGAGCGCGGGGCTGGGCCGGCCGGGCTCCCGCTCAGCACGTTCACGGCCCCGCTAGGTCCGGGGAGTGGGGCATCGCGGGCTCTAGGCAGGCTCCTTCCGCAGCGGCTCCGCTGGCCACGGCAACCGTCACACTTGCACGCCAGGAGCTTGCGCCAGGCCCAGGGCCTGCACCACGTCATCGCTCAGGCCGCTCTTCAGAGTCCGCCGCACTGGGGAGAAAGGCAGAATTAGGGCCCTGCTGCCGGCGTCACACGGAGGGCGGGTCGGCAGGCAGGGCACAG